GAACAGAAATGTTCAGGATGGGATTATTATACATATCAATAGACCTAATCGCTATATTATAATGTAATGGTTTAAGAGGGTACTATAATAAAGGGAACGGGACTATACCATCACCACCTTGGGGATCCTGAATTGGGCATAATGGTGGCATAGAAATGCTTTAAATAACAAAATAAGACTGTGTATAGTATGATCTATTTGCTTTAGCCATTATCTTGTTCTGACTACATTGTTTTCTACCCACTGAATTTCAGTTTTGATTTTGTTAATGTATCAATAGATCTAATTTTCAATATGTCCAAATCTGTGGATACTTAGCTCCAGAGACTGGAGTAAGGAATAAACAAGACAGATCTTTCTACAAACCTGAAAATGCCCCAGGTTTGCAGAAAAATCTGAAATCTAAAAACACAACAATACATTGTTAACCCCCCACTAGGGTTACCAGACCCCCTCCCCAGTTTGGTGGGGGTTACCCGCTTTTGTGGGAGTTCTACCCAACACCCGGCCAGCTGGTCGGCGAGGGAAGCCCCACCCCCAAGCCCCAACACCCTCTTGAGAAAGAGAAGGGAGAGGGGTGGCTGTGGGCCACGCACCCAATCTCCAGGTGGGGCCCTCCAGCTGCGGACACTTAAGCGGACCCCTTTAAGTGCTCACAGCTGGCAGGACAGGGCCCTATGTGCCCAATCTCCAAGCCAAATTGCTACTCAGAGAGCTGATGCGCGGGGCCCTCCGGCTACGGGCATGTAAAGGGACCCCTTAAAGTGCTCACAGCCAGCGGGGCAGGGCCCCGTGCACCCAATCTCTGAGCAAAAATGCTGCTGGGAGATCAGGAGCACGGGCCCCTGTCCTGCCAGCTGTGTGCACTTAAAGGGACCCCTTTAAGTGCTCGCAGCTGGCAGGACCGCCCCCATGGGGTTTGGCCTTGGAGCTAGGATGTCCCCAACATGATGTCATCACGATGGGGATGCCCTACCCCCTACGGAACCGCCCCCCAAAGTCCCCTGATGGGGACAAAGATAGACCTGGCAACCCTAAATCCCACCCTGAAATAATAAAAGTGCCTATAGCTTTAAAAAGCAAATGTACTCAGTAGCCATTGCTAGGCAACCACAACAGTATTGTCAAGACTTCCTTTCCATCATGAAAATTGAGGGGGGGCAGAGGAATCCTTTTCCAGAACTGTTTGGTCTCTGAAAGAGGGCTTATTGGGGCCTGGCCTGCCAGCAACAGCCAATTGACTTGCTACACACAACTTGCATGTCTCACTCAGCCTCGCATTGTTCAACAGCAGCCATCCCATGTGTGGCGCAGTGATTAAGAGTTCCAAGCAAGGAGACCCTCTTTCCATTCTCATCCTTCCTATTCCAGGGTTCCTTGAGGTCACAATGGCTTGTTCAATGACCAGGCAGATAACAACCAAATGTGTGTTTATTGCAGGCTTTTCCCCTTTGAATATTTGTGGCTTTTTTAAAAAAAATGGACAACTACTATTATTCATCATATCACCCGTGCTTTGCCATATTGCTTACATTTCTATAAATATGGAACAACTTCAAACCCAGATACTATACAGATTTTAAGCCATCACGTCTTCTCAAAGTTGTTAAATTTATGCTGCTTAATACACATAGGCTGCTATTTCTCACCTACAGAATTATACATTGACTGAAGACAGGCACTTATATTTTCCTAACCAGTTATCAATCACACCAACCCCATTTATTTTTTCCAACTGAAAAGACAGATCAGCATGAGAAAATGTACAGCAGAAGAGCAAGACTATAATTCAGAAAGCTTTACCCTGATATTTTCATTATTTTAATTTACATCACTGGCTGACATATGTTTTGATTTAATCATCGGATTCTGCAGAAGGCACATTGAACGAGACGATCCAGAAACTGCATGGCAGCTGCTGAGTGCATCACAACTTTCTCTCTTCTCCTCTCCTCTCCTCTCTAGTGTAACAATCTCAATATGTGACAAGGTAATAGGATGTTTGCATGCTTTCAGTGGCAACCACACATTCTCTTGTTTATTCCATTTTGAGCAATTCACACAAAAATAAGAGTCACAAGTGGGGACCCCTGAGAAAATATAGTAGAAAGAGGATGGGACAGATAGGGAAAGGAGCATTCCCTCAACACCTATTTCCCTACCACTGAGCCCAGTACTGGATGTAGGTTGCTTTGGGCATTTTCTGTGGTCTTTAGGCTTAAAAAGCCCTGCCCAGTGACATCCCTCGCACACATATGTTAGCAGTCAGACCCTTCCTCCCGCATAGGGGCAATTTAGTGGTTATCATACAATATCACCTCAAAAACCATAAGTATACACTGCCTGGCCTAAAATTGACACACAAGATGGATGCCAGCCAGAGACAAGCTTGGGAAAAATATTTTTGAAGGCAAGTCAGAAGTGGCTTACTAACAAACCTCTCCACACCCTCAGGAAATGCACAGTTAAGGAACAATGGGTCTCCAAGATAGGATTAGTCCAAGGTGAGGTGACTATCACATGCCCCATCTTACTTCCCCCTTACCCATTTACCCCAATTTAGCAACACTTAATATTATTCACCCAAAACTGGTAGTTTTCCTGTCCGGTACTCAAAGGGACATCAAGAAACTTTAACACCTATGGTTCAGATTTCCCAAGATCATTTGTTCATCCCCAGACATTAACTTTGGTGTACATTAACTTTGGTGTACATTTTGATATTAATTTTGGGGGCAAACATGTCAGACTGCCCCAGGAAACATTTTTCCTATAAGTACCAGCACTATTTGCCATAGCTCTCTCTGTGTGTGTGTGTGTGTATGTGTGTGTGTTCTCGACATCAAACCTCATAGTCCCAGTTCATGTAGATCTCCTCTATTTGTTCTGTGAAATGCTGGTCATTTTGCAGCTTTTTTAGATTGGTAACTATTGCCTCCCCGAAATCACTTTCTCCCACTTCCTCTCTATCTTCTCTTAGCTAGCCTGTGTGTTTTTCTCTGAGTTTGTATGTGTGCATTGCCCTTCTATTCTTATTTCAATAAAACCCTTTTCAGTATCCAATTAAATAAGAGACTGCCTCTTTGGGTAGCACATGTATACACACACCCACACACAGAGAGAGATGGGTGCAGAGCAGTAGCTCAGCTACCCCTAAAAGCAATGGTACCAAATAGCTACTGCCACCCATGCTCACCCACCCTCTCAAGAGTGTGGCTATCAAACAACACACCAGTGCTTGGCTCCAGTAGCAACTTCTTGCTACCCCCTTCCTGATTATTAATTACCTAGCAAAAGGTGCACCATAACAATGTTCCCACATTCATCTCTGGGGTAGAACAATAACAACGCTGAAGTATCTTTGCATCCATTCTCCTTTTATTCACATTTATATATACAGAACTTATCATCAAGCAACTTAAAAGAATACAAAGCATCAGCACTTACATCCATGTAAAGTACAATAGAGCTTGCTGAGTTCATTATATTAATTAACACACACACCCCAGTACACAGGCAAGGTGAGTTTTGGTATCACAGAAATGGATTTTTAATTCCAAATCCATCCCATTTATACATTTTCAAGAGATTGCCTCATATTACCATCACTTTTTACCATCAGTTAGCTGTCCCACTTAATTGGGCTCATATCCTTAATTAATGTATTTTTTATAAAACACAATACCTGAAAAATTACTTTCATCCATATATTCTTAGATAATATACCTTAAATTTCTGCATATGCCTTGTTAACACATTTTTGCTACCTTTAATCATGACAACGATATATAAATGCTCTACAGGTACGTAACTATTTACTGGCCATTAACCAACTGACCACATCTTCAAACATACATTTCTTCCATCCTTGCCTGGAGGCCAAACTCATTATTTTCATGATGTTACTCTTCCTTGAATTTAATTTCTCTATTAATGAACTTCTAATCTATACCTGTCTTTGAACATACTCAAAGCCCTGATTCGAGTTTTATTCTGGGTGCACCATACATATTTATGGAAATAGCGATTCCCTGCTTGCAGCCTGCAGAAGAGCTTGTGATGATGTTGCGAAACTCTGCCAGCTTTTTTCTCTCTGATACTTTAGCTAAATTCATTACAAGAAGCAAGCAGGTGGTAACAAGTAGCTGCAAACTCAAACAGGCTCAGACTGCCATCCAGGGGAAGGTAGGTGAGTGCCTGACCAGCAGACATTGCTTAGTACCATTTCAGCTAGCAGTGACCATGTAGCTGCTGCCTCAGCACCTGACTGCTCTGTGCCCTGGCACCTGTGTAGGGTGCTTCTCAGGTGGGTGTCAGGACAACAGCATCATGCTGAGGACACCTCCAAGCACTAGAACTGGCCTTGCCCACCAACAGTCTCTTTCTCCACTCATCCAGGAAGGGACAGTGCAGTGGGAGGGATTCTTGCCTTATTTTCCCCTCTTCGCATTGCCTATTGGGAAACATGGATGGAATTGTAAAGGGGGGGCCCTGTTATATTATTTAATCGGTTTTTTTAAAAAAAATTCTATCACTAATATACCAATTAACATGAAAGTAAATTACACAAACCAAAAACAAATTAACAGGACAAATACTTTTAAAACCTTGGACAGGGAAATGGGGGGAGGGGAAGGGGATATTAGTTTTTTTTCAACTAGAGAACAGACAATATACAAGGTGGCTGAGTAGATCGGTTCCGGGGGGGGCAGCTAAGTACCAAGAGTCATCAGTACATCAATGAGTTTGAGGCAGCAGTCAGTGGAGACCTCTCCTGCCTCATACAGTTTGCAATTTCCATCATCTGTTATCTGGATATGAACAGACCAAGCTCATGAACAGAATATTACTACCACCAGCTAGAGACAGGATGAAGAAATTCTATTCTTAGATTGTTCCCAATGTTACATAATGTACTGTAATGAATATAAGGAAAGCACAATGGGCAGACTTCTAAATGCCTTCTACATCAGATACAATGACAAATTTTGTGACATTACCTCCCATCCTTCAATGTGAGACTGCCATTCTTCTAAAACCTCTAATTTTTCCATCTGCCTCTTTGCCTCATTTATATTGGAACAGACAGATTTCATTGCTTGGAGAGCTTCCATTAAGGCAGAGTAGTCACTGTGTTTTTTGGGAGTGCGCTTTAACAGCTCCTGTTTAAAAAAAATCAATTTTATTTTATTTTCTCAACAGGAAACTTAAGGTGGAAACCTGTGACACACTTGCAAAGGTATCTCTTTCTCTGTCTTTTCTTCCCCCAGTAATTCCATGTGAGCCATTCAAATGTGGATGGTGATGGCCGGGAGACCTTCATGGACAAAAGGCCACACAGGGTCTACACTGACCACAGGAAATCACATCCTCATTCTCCCACTAGTGGAAGAAACTTGGAGGAACAAGCTTTTCACTCTTGCAAGAGAAAGGGGAACATTTCATTGATTCCCCTTCATGACTGCACACCCCCCCCCCCATGCCACGTGCCATTTTATGCACCATTGACAAAGTTACAGAGGTCTGCTGAAGGAAGGAAAGGCAGAGAATAGCATACTCTGGTGGCATTTCCATGCATGGTTACCTGAAAGTACACTCCACTGAATCAAAATAAGCACGCATAAGACTGGACCATCACACTGAGTAGAAAGATCAGTGAATCACCTAAGCATGAAAATCACTGTGCACAAACTCACAGCCTAAAAGGAGCAGACATATGTGTGGCACTCTTGAACTTCCACAAATCTTCATCCTGAGTCAATCAAATTCAATCTGACAACGTAAGGAATTCCATGCAAGTGCTACTGCCAAGAGAGGAACAGGACAGCTCTGTCCTGTAAAGCCACTAACAGGTCAAACTGATGCTTATCTCAGCACCACAGCACCACAGCACCAAGCCACTGGATGGCATCACTGACCTGCCATAATTCCCTGTCAGATGGCATCATGAATGCCGGCAGCACAATCACAGCCAGAAGATGCATCAGTCACAGCCCAATGATGGCCATACTAAGAGAAGTCCTGTGGCACCTGTGTTATGTGCCATCAAATATTTTCCTATTGCCTTCAACTCTTCCTACCATTATTGTCTTTCCCATTGTCTCATCTTCTCATGACATGACCGAAGCACAATAGCCTCAGTTTAGTCATTTTACCTTCCAGGGAGAATTCAGGCATAATTTGATCTGGAGCCCAATTATCAGTCTTTTTCGAAGTCCGTGGTATCTGTAAAACTCTCCTCCAACATGTTAAAGACTAATAACATTTATTTCAATATGAGCTTTCTTAATTCCCGGTATGATTTCTCATTCACATACCTATCAGAAGAAGAAGTGAGCTGTGATTTCCAGAAGCTCATATTGAAATTAACCTTAGACTTTAAGGTGCCACTGGAATCTTGTTTTATTTTACTATGACAGACTAGGATAGCTACCCCTTTGCAATAATGCCAATGGACCATGAAAAAGAATATACCAAAGTGTCAACACTTGCATGGAACATCACAGGAGGCTAGTAGAGGAAGTCTGGCCTCAGTGATGCTGGTAAGCTGGACAAGGCAGTTGTTCACCTGCCTGTTATCAATGTCTACACTTTCTGTCCTATGCACTGATCCTCCAACATGTACGTATGTGCTTTCAAGTCACAACCGACTTATGGTGACAGCAGCAAGGGGCTTTCAAGGCAAGTGAGAAGCAGAGGTGGTTTGCCATTGCCTTCCTCTACAGAGTCTTCCTTGGTTGGCTTCTGAGATCTGATGAGATCAGACTATTCCACATCCTGTGGGACCTTCTGGTACCTCTAGCTTTACTACCAGTTCATGGCAGACTCAGAACTTTCCCATGTATCAACCTTATTCTGAGTATAAGGTTTAAAAAAACCCTTATACTGAGTTTAAAAAAAACCCTTATACTGAGTTTTTTAAAAAACCCAATTTTTAAAAATACATACCTTCAAAAGAAGTGGATACTTGCATATTCTCTGGATTGGTGATACTATGTATCCTTCTAACGGCATATCTGTACTCTTGCGTCCTCCTAGCAGCATGCAGTTCTAGAAAGGGGGGGGGGGAATTAATTAAAATCATTTTGAATTTATCCTTTCACAGACGTGCTATGTGAGCTCATGAAAAAACTGACATAAGGATGCTCATCATGAATTATGCTTTGCTACTAGGTTTTCACAGGGTGCCTAGAGTGTCTTTTGCCAACTTCATTTTATTAGCTGACTGAAGCTACGTGACCCAGCCACTGCAACCCACATTTTGGTAACCTCCCAAAGGACTATTATAAGTGGTTTTAAATAGAGCAACCATTAAAAACAGTTTGGCAATTTCATCAGGTGCAAAACTCTTGCCCATAAACAGGGGCATGCCTCTAAAGACTATATTATACCTATAATAGCTTCCATTATTCATCCATGTTCAATTCAATAGGTTTGTTATTACTTTTAAAGCCTTACATGTCCATGGGCCTACACAAATTTTGAGAGCACCTTTTGCACATACATACCCATTAGGTTTAGCGGGGGAAACTCTCCTCTGTGTCCTATTTTGTCTAGGTTTTATTTATATCCTTTGTCTATACTGTATCTCTTCTATGGTTTTTAAAGATAGAATTTTTTAAATTACACTATGAAAGTCAAAAGATACACCATGAAGATACAGTTTCTGTGCAAAAATTCACAGAAGATGTCTTATGATATCTGATTGTATTGTTTTTATATTTTGTTATCAGCCTTGACTCTCAGCAAGAAAGGCAGTCTATAAATGAAGTAAATGTTTTAATAATTTTAATTTAGAAATTTTAAAAATAAAATAAATAATAAACTATTTAAATAAAGAAATAATACTGATGCTTTTCTGTCTTTTAAAAAGCTTTTTTATACACATATAATGCAAACATATACGAAAACAATTGTACTGGCTTGCAGGCTCCGAGTATCAGGTGCCAGAAGTCAGGCAAGGCAGGGTCATTCAGTCCAAGGTCAGGGGTCCGGAAGTCAGGCAAGGCAGAGGCAGTGGGTTGGCGTCTATTATACGTGTTGCAACCATGCCAAACAGCCTCTCTTGGCTGGTTTTTATAGCCCCATGCCTAAAGATCATGCTTGTAGCCAGCTGCTCAGAAGCAATTCTGCAACTACTCATCTTTGTTATCAGCAAGCAGCTTGCATTGGGGCAGGAGGTGTACCCTTTGCCATCTTGTCTGTAGATCTGCTCTCAGCCTCCATATGTGGCACTCTAAGGGTGTGAGTGATACTGGTGGGCTGGGAACAGCTAACTGAGGTTCACCTGCTGAATCAAGGCTGGAGGGTGTCCATGGCTCTGCACCAGCTGTTGGCTGTGAATCCTCACAAGCCTGCAACTCATTTTTCTGCTGGTCAGCTTCTCCTGTTAACTCAAGGCTGGCTACATGGGGTTCCTCATCCCCCAAGAAGTTCTTGCTATCACTGAGCCCTGGCTGACCCACAACAATAACATATTCTATATTTGCTCACCTTACTATAAAACATTAAAAGTAATGAAAGGGTAAGAAAATCCCATTTCTATATAAGAATAGAGAAATACCAAATCCCAATATTTTGTTTATTACTGATTTAATTTAATCTTCTTATAAATGCTTCTTTTGTCTAAATATAACAATAAGGCATCTACAACAGACTGCACTTTTAAAAGCTTAGAAGTTCTGTATAAGCAGATAAAGGGCTGTGAAGGGTTAATTCTTCACAGAGCCAGAGAGCCTGGAGTGACAGGCTGTTCCAAGAGATCTGATTGGTTAGCATCAGCTGAGCAGAGAAAGACTTCTGAACTGGATGCTGAGGAGACAGAAGAACACAGGCAGGAGAACTGGGGAAAGTTGGCAAGGACCAGTAGGTAGTTAGATGGAGACTCCCAATTCGGGCCAAGGAGAGGGGATAGATCTTCTAGAGGGAGAAGGAATTTCCCTATCCAGTCTAAACAGGGAGATAGTTCTAAAAGGTGCAGAGGTCCCTGGTCTGGTGTGGTTTAAAACTCCTTTTAGAGAGCTTAAAAGTCAGTTAAAAACTCAAGACGAATACCGGTGTTTCAATAGAAGGGTTTTGGGTACTGGAAAGAGAGTACCAGCCTTCTAGAAACCGAAAGAGTAAGAGAATATACAAAGAAAGTGTACTAGAGTGTTTGGACAAACACTGGAACAAAAGCCTCCCAACATAAAGATTTTAAGTAACTTGTGAATAGCTTAAGAAACTCTCAGCCTGAAATATAAGTCTGTGCACGTACTGATTTTACCTCAGAGTTATCTATATTGTGTTACCTCAGAAATGTTACCCCTGATTTCACCTGACCTTTCCCCTCTATGTTGAATAAAATATTTTGTTAATTTGGAATATAAAAACTCCTTGAGTGCCATTTAAGTCCTTCCCTCGGATTCCTGGGCTGAGAAAACAGCCAAAATATTATCTTGTGACAGGATCAGACAGACAGAATTCTTCAGGAAATAAGAAAACAGTTAACTAGGGTGGCTCAGTCACAGAAGGGAAAGAAGGAGGGGAAATCGTGCCTCTGAGGGAGGGAAGAGAACGGGGCCTTCATAGCATCTAAGTCAACCTCACTGCCATTGTTGAATTTACAAAGCAAACAGGACAATTTAATTTAGGTTAAATGGAGAAAAATCAAATCTTTATTTCACTTGAGTTAAACCATGAAATGCATTTCATAATAAGCATATTTATTCGCTATTTGTTTTTAATTACTGAGAGCCAGTGTGATATAGTGGTTAACATGTCAGACTAGGATCTGGGAGACCCAAGTTCATATCCCCACTCTACCCTGAAAACTTGCTGGGTGACCTTGTGCCAGTCACACACTCTCAGCCTAGCCTACCTTGCAAAGTCGTTGTGAGGATAAAACAGAGAAGAGGAGAATGATGTAAGCTGCTTTTTGTGAGAAAGGTGGGATATAAATAAAGTAAAATAAAAAAACAAGTATTACTCTGCAGCACTATGTAAGTCTCACTGAATTTAGCGGGCTTGTTCTAAAGTAAACGTGCATAGGTCAACAAACTTAAGAATATTATCTGTGCTTTAAATAAGTTATGTGTGTTGCATGTATATCCTTCCAAAACTTTAAAGGTAGCTTTCTGTAGTAAAATGTTGAGAGACATGTGTCACTCACACACCACAAGTTTCAGTGGGATGACAGCAGCACTTATCAACAAGGGCAAACCAGGAAATTATCATGGAAAAATTCTAAAAGCCCTTGTCTCACTGTGCAAATATCTTGGGAAGAGAAAGAAACAGTGGCTTGATTTAGGAGTCAGACAAAACCTTGGTTTAATTAAACCATGTTTGGATAGCATACAGTTGGTTGGTTGATTAACAACAGTTTCTCTTAAGTACAGTTTCACATTAGGTACAAACACATCCTGGCTTTCATCCTGGCTTGTTACCCAGCACCACCCATCTTGCAGTGCAAGATCCCTACCTGGGCTGCAGAGAAACACCAAAGGCAAAGGAATCAGCTTTTTCAAGGGAAATGAAGATAGGAATGGCTGAGACTCAAATTATGATTTCAAACCTACCATGGTTAAAATAAACCATTATTTTTGCATTATGTCTGAATTCAGCATTCCCTGCATTTTTCAAGGAGTGCACATATGCAGCTGGGTATTTTAAATTTCAGAGGACATGACTGGGAACCTTCTTGTATTTATAAGGGTAAATGATATTTAAAATACTCTTGATAATGTATTATGCTACAGGTATGCTGTTCAGCATTGAGCAAGTTGCTAGGGACAAATGTAATTCACCCAAGAAAGTGAGAAGCATTTAGCAAGATCAGGAGTATTCCTTTCTGTCTGTCGTTAGGTACATTATGCTGTGCTTCCAAGCTAGGCAGGCTTATACTGTTATTCTGTTATTCTGTAAATTGTCAGGAGATGGCACTGACTGTGTGATGCAGACAGATTCTCTGAACACGGTACTTTGGTGTTCATCTGATCTATAGCCATGATTGTCTTGTGTGTTACTAAGAAAATATGTGGTATAAAGCAATACACCAATCAAAAATATTGAGTGAGAAATACAAATCAATATCAGTTTACCAATAGAAACGTCCGCACTGTTCTTATTTTGTTAAGTTCAAGCAGAAGTTTCTGTGCCTTCTCATGGTTACTGCAGTATTCATCATAGATACGAAATCTGTCTTTCTGGGGGGAAACAGATTTTGTATTAGACATTTTGTTCTAAGAATTGTTAAAGCTTATTAGAAATTGAAAACAACACAACAAACTACCGAAGAGAAGAATTATGAAAATTATGAGGATAAAGAGGAAAATTATGAACTCAGTTACTGCCTTTTTAGAACAGCCAAATATGAAAGAAAGGCAGCGACTGTAGTTCTTAATTTGTAGTAGTTGACCTATATGAGTACAATAGAAACTCATAAGTGTACTGAAAACTTGCAATAATGGCTCAGATCCAAATTTCCCTCCTGCTTGTGGTAGGCACTTCTGCTTGCAGAAGGCAATTTTAGCTGATTGGGGGGAATCAAAGTAAGAATGGAAGTGAGAGGGGGGTCTCACTTCCACTCTCACTTTGACCCCTAATAATGTCCCTGGGCATCATTGACCAAACCAAAATGTGCTCCATTACTCTTACATAATTTACTACACTCCAGCTTTTCAAATTCAGATAATACAGTGAAGAACAAGACAGATCTGGAAATGTTTTGACATGAACAGCAGTTAAACACAATGGCAAGTAAGCGCCATTGTTTGCCCTATAATTAAGGATCATGTCCTCTCCCCATTCCACCCTATATTTCTATGCCACCAAAACATCATGAAGGGGAAAAATTAAAGACCTAAGTAAAATCATTTAATTTTTATCATTTTCATTCTTGCCAGCCCTGTTTAAGGCAATATATTGGTTAAAAGAAAGTATTTCAACAGGGAACCTAAACACACACTAAACAACTCTATCAAGAGAGGACTAAGGTTCAGCACGTCTAGTGATGTGTAGTCTTTCCAACTGCATTCTGAGAATTCTCCACAGATGAACTGGAGTACTTCCTTGACTGAAATAGTTTGGCCCCTACAACTGTAGTTAATGAACATCCTAGCACACTGGCTCCCCTGACAAATCTCTTTTTTTTTTTTAGATTATATCAGGTAGAAAAGAAGAATGTGTGACATTGTTATAGTCAGAGACAAGAGGAACTCTCATAATTGTAGGAGTCTGGGAAAGGAGAACACAGGAATAATGACGTTTTCCCATCTCCTGACATGGGACTTTGTTACAGAAGCTTTTCAAACCTGGAGTTCTTGCAGTTCAACAACATGTGTCCAAATGTTTAATCCTAGCAAGACAGACTCCCTAATTTTCAGGAATCAAAAGATATTTTAGGGCTATAAAGGCAAGTGTATACAAGACTAGAAGCAATCGTTTTTTTAAACCATTACAGTCTGTCTCCATGTAGGAAGATCACAGTATCTAAAGCACCATCTTCTCCCATATGTTCCAACCCAGGAATAAGATCACAGGGAGAAGCCCTCCTGACTGTCCCACCAACCAAGAAGCTTGTCTAGTTGGGTACATTAGAGAGAGACTTTTCTGAGGCAGCCCCACAATTACGGAATAACCTCCCCAGGGAGGTGTATTGCCCCCTTCACTTTCAATATTTAGGAGGAAGCTGAAGACAGTTTTATTCAGGATGGCATTTGACTAGTTTCCTCTACTTACTGTCTGTAAATTGTGATTTTAACTCATAGATTTCTAAGTGTATTTTATGTTTTTCAATTTGTTTACATCATAACCACCTTGAGTTTCATAAAATAGAAGGCAGCTAATAAATGCCTTTAATTTAATCGCTGCAGAAGGCCAAAGAGTTAACTGGGAACGAGGAATGTACTAGCACTTTATTATGTTATTATGTTTGAGTTTTAATACTGTATTTATGAAATTATGGTTTTATGCGATCGTATTGTTGAGATTTTATTCTGTTGTGAGCCGCCCTAAGCCGGCCTAGGCCGGGAGGGCGGGATAGAAATCTAATAAATAAATAAATAAATAATCATAAATGATCTGGAATAGGGGTGAGTCGTGTCATAGCCAAGTTTGCAGATGGAACAAAATTATTCAGGATGGTGAAAACCAAGGCTAACTGTGAAGAGCTCCAAGAGGACCTCCACAAACTTGGTGAGTGGGTGACAATGCGGCAAACAAAGTTCAGCGTTGGTAAGTGTAAGGTGATGCACGTTGGGACAAAAATCCCAGCTTCAAGTATAAGCTAATGGGGTCTGAACTTGCTGAGACTGAAAGGGAAAAATTTCTTGGGATCATAGTGGATAGCTCAATGAAAGCATCAACCCAGTGTGCTGCCGCTGTGAAAAGGGCAAACTCTATGTTAGGGATTATTAGGAAAGGGATTGTACAGCCAATATTGCAATGTCCCTGTATAGATCTATTTTACAGACTCATTTGAAATACTGTGTACAGTTCTGGTTACCACATCTCAAAAAGGACATTGCAGAGCTGGAAAAAGTACAGAGGAGGGCATCCAAGATGATTAAGGGATTGGAGCACCTTCCCTATGAGGAAAGGCTAAAGGGTCTGGGACTTTTCAGTTTCGAAAAGAGGTGACTAAGGGGGGACATGATAGAGGTTTATAAAATTATGCATGGGGTGGAGAGAGTTGACAAAAAGACATTTTTCTCTGTCTCCCAAAATCCTAGAACTCAAGGGCATCCAATGAAACGGATAGGCAGTAGGTTCAGGACGGACAAAAGGAAACACTATTTTACAGAGAGAGTGATTAAAATGTGGAATTCATGGCCACAGGATGTAGTGATGGCCACAGGAATAAACAGCTTTAAAAGGGGATTAGATAAATTCATGGAGGATAAGTCTATCAATGGCTTCTGACCGTGGTGACTGAGGGGAACCTCCACATTCAGAGGCACTAAACCTCTGAATCCTAGAGTCAGGTGGCAAAATCAGGGGAATACCCTGTTGCTGGCCCTCCAGAGGAACTGGTTTGGCCACTGTCTGAGACAGGATGCTGGACTAGATGGACCATTGCTCTGATCCAGCCGGGCTCTTATTATGTTCTTATGTTTTAATACAAATGAATAAATACATAAATAATCCAGCATGACACAAGCAAGAAAGCTCCATTCCTTGCATATAAAAGGTCTCAAGTTAAAACAGCATCCTGATAGCTCACCTGTTATTTAATCTCAAGATTCCTGAGGATGGGCTCTCCCATAACCTACTGTAGCACAGTTACAAAATCTAAGACTGCAAAATTGTGCATTTGGGGATGATTAGTTAATACTAAATGTAGACACAAGCAGCACAGGTCACACACACTGCTGCACATCTCCATGCTAAATATGTAAATAATATGAAAATATGACATCAATTCAGTAGAGCTTGCAAAATTCATTACTACTCAGTCCTGCAAAGCATGCTGAAGACTACCTTAGTAAAAACACAATCCCTGCAGAACAGACACTGTAACACAAAAAAGTGCAATCCTGAAAAGAGTTGTCCCATTCTAAACCCACTGATTTTAATGGAATTAGAAGGATGTAACTCTGCTTAGGCTTGCATTGTAAAGCTCTCTCCTTTTAACAGATATTTCAGCTTCCAAGTGTCCTTAAAAGACCTAAAATTATGCAATCAAATCCCTTTCAGTTCTCAAAGCACTACCGTGCCAGTGAAAATTTGAAGAGAGTAATAGCAATTAAATACTAAGCTTAAATGATTGAAATTGGCATACATAGTGAAGAAAGCAGGTTCCCACTTCTTGTTGAGCATTAGGTTCAGGGCGCAGACATTCTTCAATACTGGACAGAAAATCCTTGTGCAGTTCAAGAATATCTTCAATATTTGAGAACAACATCTGTAATTAAGAAATGCAGAATATAAATAAACAAAAACAAACAACAATAAAAGAGGAGCAAGAATAATCAACTACTAACCTTAACTGTTTCCTCTGTAACGTTTTTATCAACTTTGGAAGCAGCCCATTGCATCATTCTGTGAAAGAAGGCCTGAAAAATAATAAGAAAACCAACAAATGATTACTCACACTAAGCCTGTAGTAGCAAAAGTATAGGAAGCATTGACACAAGCAATTTACTTCATCAAGTATATGAAATGATATGGTGGTATCAATATGAACCCACTGGCTTAAGTACAATAGAATTAACAATTGTAGTACATTTGAAGCAAAGAACTTCACAGCTGTACCAGACATGCTCAAAGATAAATGTTAGAATCAGGCATCAGGATCACATTATTTCATCATGGTAGTTAGGTATTCATGGTTTTCCATAACCAATGGTTGGAGTTTGCAGAGTTTTTGGTAGGGATGTGCACCCCCGAAAATGGCCCATTCGGACTCCTTTCGGGCTGCTGCAGGCCGATTCATATTATCTGATCTGAATCAGCTTGCCAGTTCGGCCCCATTATATCCTATGGGCCATTGAAGTCAATGGCAAAAACATAGGGTATATTCTGGGGGCTGGAGGGGAGGGGGCGTGAAGGAGAGGCTCCAAACTTGCAGGGTAGCTGCTGAAGCCTCTCCCCAAGATACCAACCAAGTTTGAAGAATATTGGACCAGGGGGTTGCCCCTATCCCTTCCATTGTTCTCTATGGTGGGAAAAAGTAACTTTTTCCCCACCATAGAGAACAATGGAGGGGATAGGAGCAACCTGTTTGAAGGCTCGTAAAATTTGACCCCCTGGCCCAATGCTCTTGACACTTGGTTGGTATCTTGGGGAGAGGCTCCAGCAGCTACCCTACGAGTTTGGAGCCTCTCCCTCAAGCCCCCTCCCCTCCAGCCCCCAGAATATACCCTATTATTTTCACCATTGACTTCAATGGCCCATAGGATATAATGGGGCTGAAATTGCCATTTGGCTGGCCGAAAGACTCCTGAATTGGCTCGTATTGACGAAACTGACATGCGGGAGTCTTACTGCCAGCCGAAATTGATTCTGCCCAATTCGGTGGAATCCGAATGGGCCGAATTTTTTATTTATTTATTTTTGCACACCCCTAGTTTGCAGAACTAGGTTTTGGTGACATTGCACCTGTCCACACATATGACTTTAACATTCTTATTTCCCAGTCAGTTTTAGTGACATACACAATTTCGTGTCTCTCCACAAACAAACAAAAAACAAAACAAGAATTGAATACAATTACTAACTGCAAAAGCACAGTTCCTGCAATCTCATGCCACAAACTATATGCATGAGATGGAAACATCAAAGAAAGACAGAAAACAAAACCATACATATGTATCCTTATGGACAATCTAGTTACAACATATCCTTATGGACAACCTAGTCTCATGCCCTCAAACGGAGGCCATGAAGACCAGTTTCTTAGGATGATAGGTATGCTACATTGCATCACACAGATCCAAACAAGAGTAAACATTTAAAAGTTAATTCAGAGTGGGTGTGGACCACTTATGACTTTTGATGACTTAAGCAAAATAATTAAGAATCTGTGTGTGTCACATTATGTAATTAGTTTCCTTCCAGATGTAGGAAAGAAAGACTAAGCACATTTAGTAGAGAGTAAGCAGTCTGCAGCTTTTTAAACAAAGCTTATTATGTGTAGAAGAGAATTTTAAAAAGCCTAACTGGCTGTATGACCTACTGGTCAGAAGACTGGGTGTAAACAGAGGTGGCTGGGAGGGGTGGAGGAAGCCACCATTTGCTGCCCTGCTCTCTGCCTTACCAGCCCCATCGGGCACCAGCTGCCACAGGTCTGATTTGTATTAAGTTATTCTATTAAGAAATGAGGCTGTTTGGCATTGCTGGCCCCTAATAGCATATGCTAGAGAGCAGAATACATACATAGTGTCCCAATTTTGTGCATAATAGATGTGTGTTAAATTCAGAGCATAACTATTCAATATTATTTACAGGGGAAGATGGACTTTCCCTAACTTTGCAATGAAACGTATTCTATTTTCCCAATACATTTTAGAAGCACTGGCCAGGCTCCTGTAGCTGTCCTCTTCTGTGCATTAACCTGTGCCAGCAGTGCAGGGAGAGCCATCCAATCATGCTGCTACTCTGATACTAAACAAAAAGTCTCTTCTTTCTGTAATTCACCAGCTGGGTGACCACCTGTTGTTTCCCCTACTTGGCTGGAGCACTGGTAGTACAAAAAGGAACACACAACCCTCTGTCTAAGGACACTAACACTACCACCTATTTTAAGGTAAAGATTCTAATCTAACCTATTAGTGTAAATTCTGGAGTACATACCCAATAAGACATATACACTTATTCTTACAAAAAGTTTCCACATTTTTATTCCATATATTCTACTGATTCGGTCATTTCCATCCCTAGATACACTATTCCATCTGCTAATACAATTCTTTTCCCACTCTTTTTACATGTAGTAGAGATAATTTAAAGTAGATTAGGATCAACTGTGAGTCCCATGTTTGGGATTTCAAGTGTGGGATGAACCATTTTAAATAACGGTTGGCTTCTGCTAATTGTCACACCTTGGCTGTGGTCACACGCAACATTAGCCACGCAAGAGATACGGAAGACAGGCGGAGTTTCCGGTCGCGATCTCACCAGCACATCTGGGAAGCATAGCGCTTCCGTGGCACAACCGAGGCTTCCTGCCGAAAAAGCGCAGCAAAAAACTAGTACCTCGGAGGTACTAGTTTCCGGAAACTGCGGGGCAAGGGCGGGCGTCTGATCGCGTTTCCGGTGGCATCCGGCGCCTGCCCATGTCCCCTTGCGGAAAAGGGTTTTTTTCCCCAAGTCTCCGTGGATGCGCACACGGATCCAACGGAGCATGCGCATTCGTAGTATACACAAAAAAAGAAAACCAGTTCGCCGCGCCGCGCGCTTCTTCATTGCCCGCAGGCTGTGTTGTGATCGGCACCTCTCCCTACCCATGGAAGCTCCACAGTACCTCCACAGAACCTCCACAGTAGGTCTGATCGCTTTACTGCATGTTTGCCCCAGGGCAAACAGCCACACTTCTCCTCCGCAGTTTCCTGCCCGTGTGACCGGGGCCAATGTTCTACTGTTAAATCATAGCAAAGGAAAAGTTTTATTAGTTTGTTTAAGAAACTGTTAAAATAAACTTCTACTATAAAAACATACAGATGGCAGCATACTCATAAAATGCATCCCCTATAGAAAAAATACATTAAATAATTTGTTTTTTAAAAAAACCTCTCAGTAAAAGCACCAGACACATGATAACCAAGTTCTAAAAAGCTACCTGAAAATATAAACACTAATCTATAAAAAGTCATAGGATAAAACAATGTAACAATAAGGAGATGATATAAAGCAACATAAAAATAAAAGCTTTCCATAAATAATCAGAGCAGTCCCTCAAAATGTTCACAGCAACCCCTTCCTCAACTCCAGTGCAGGCCTTCTGGAAAAGATAAGTTTTCTGATCCTAATATCCTTCAAGATGGCCTATTGTAAAAATGCCTGCTGAATCTGATCATTGCTTTACATTTTTGACCATCTGGTTGTGTTGATGATTTGTCTCTAAAAGAGATGCCCATTCAAAATTGTGATCAAGAAGCTTTGATAGATAAGAGACAGCTATTGAAACTGTGATAAAATTGTCCTTTCAATCAGCACACCTTGTAGTATTAAATGTGTTATTTGAATCAAAAAATAAACCCTAGGAAATACTGTTTGTAAAAAGGAATTCGGTTCCCCATTTAAACTTTTTTTAAAAAATTGTCCTCTAACATCAGTGTTCGTGACACTGTCAATAAAATTTGAGAAATCTTTGAATGGCATGCAATCCAAAGTTTGATTTGGTCTCACTTCTTTCTTTGAAAATCCCACATTCAAAACTACCATTCAGTGTATTCTGTGAACAAAACACGCTCTATAATGGGGAGCTTCAGCTGTTCATCCACTTGGCATCTAATAATATTGTACTACCACATGCTCATTATGACTCATCTATTTCTACAGTAAATAAAACATGAACACTAGAAATAAGCTTCCCATGTTTGCCAATGACCTGTTTCTGCAGTTCATTAATACATTAATCATTAAACAACTACCATCTATCTGTAATGTATGCAGTAATTTCACCCCATGCACGTAATTAATTAAAGTTTCTATCACACTCTTCACAGATTACGCAGAAGAATACTGATTTTTTTCAGCATCCACCCACATATCACCTTTTAATATACTTTAGGAGGCAAATAATATAAAATAGTATTTCAGTGCTTCCTATTTAAAGCTAGCTGAATTTATTTATTAATATTTTCTGTTGAATATTACAAGATCACAATTATTCATCAGAATATATGTTGCCATAATGGGACAACAATCTAAAATACAAAGGGATATTTTTATCTCTTGATTCCTCCAGGAGCTCAAGATTGGACACATGATTTCTTTCATTTGTCTCAACAATTTCATTAGTATGTTGTCGAAGGCTTTCACGGCCGGAGTTCATTAGTTGTAAATTTTCTGGGGTGTATGGCTGTGGTCTTGGCATTGTAGTACCTGATGTTTCACCAGCAGTTGTGACAGGCATCCTCAGAGGTATAACACAAAAAGATGGAGTACTCTCTGTGTCAGTGAGAAGAAAAATGGTAGCCAGGTAATTTATATCTACTCAGGAAGGTGGGGGTAGGGCTGAGTCATTATCTTAACAACATCCACCTGGAACATACATTTCACCATGGAAAAAGAAATTGAGGGTAAACTCCCATTTCTAGATATCATGGTCATCCACAAAGCTAACCTTCAATTAGGTCACAAGGTCTACAGAAAACCAACTCACGCGGATTGTTATTTACACAAAAACTCCAATTATCACCCTCAGCAAAAAAGGCATAATCAAAACATTAGTAGACCGTGCAAGATGGATATGTGAACCGCACTTTCTCAACGATGAACTAAATCATCTAAACCACACAGTTCAAGCAAATAGCTACTCCAAGAATGACATCAGAAGAGCGATTAAACCAAAGGTAAAAAAAAACAACTGAGGAAAAACAGCCTCCTACAG